CCCTAGTTCGAACTAGCAATAAAGACCTGTTTTGCTCTCACATCTCGCAACTAAGGCTGGTGACCGCGGCTCCACATGGGGGACTCAAGGAAATGGGGCACAAGATGAGTTGTGTTGTTTAACTCACATTTGTGGTAGTTTGTTGTGCAGCAATAGAAAACTAACACACAGGGGATAGGTGTGTACAGTACCCATATAGAATTAAACTAACAACTATGAGTAGAGCATTTCAGAGTTCTCTTGCCTCCACATTCTGCAGGCAATTAAAGACATGGAAAAGTGCAGTGTTAAGCTGCCTGAGCATGGAGAATGTTCCATTATGTGAGTGGATGCCTAGATATCCCAGTAATAATCTGTCATCCTATATATAATGCTAAAATTACGTTGGAAAGTTTACAGGACAGCCAATGCTTCTATTTTAACACCCAACTAACCAGACACAAAGAGCTAATCTAAAATTCCAGAGGTTGTAATCACCTAATAATTCATCAGACCTCATCAGACTAACCAGTTCACCACTGCACTCTCACAGTGAGGACGTACAGTCTTTGGGTCCTCGTCACTCCTGTCTTCCGATGCGCCATACCATCATCTGGCATGCCTTCTATGTCACACATAAGCAGTCCGATTGTATTTGCCTTTCCGTAACTGCAGGGAAGATCTCCTGTGCCTTTGTTTTTTTCCATTAAACAATATCGGGGATCACCAGTATTATCTCTTTTGACCACTTGATGTAAAAACCATGATCACATAGCACTGTAAGAGCTGTGGCTCACTTAATCCCCCCTGGAGTTCTCTCAGTCAAGAGGTGGGTGAGAGGGTTTGGAGAGTGTGATGATTAACTCTACGTGTCAAGTTGACTGGGCCATGGGATGCCCAGTAGCTGCTTTGACATCGTTTCTGGGTGTGTCTGTGAGGGTGTTGCCAGAAGAGATTAGCATTTGAATTGGTGGACTGAGTAAAGCAGCTGGACTTCCCCGGCGTGGGTGGGCGCCATCCAATTAGTTGAGGGCGTGAAGAGAACACAGGTGGAGGGAGGTTGCTCTCTTGCCTGTTGAGCTGGGACATTGATCTTTGGCCCTCTGTGCTCCTGGTTCTCAGGCATTAGACTTCAACCGAAATCTACACATCGGCACTCTGGCTCCTGGGCTTTTGAACTACACCACTGGCTTTCATGGGTCTCCAATTTGTATACGCAGATCACGGGACTTCTCAAGCTCCGTAATTGCCTGAGCCGATGCCTTATAATATGCAAGCATTTCTGGCCCATTTCTCTTAATTAATTTACATTTAAAAGTTAAGAATACACATTGAAGCATAGATTGGTAAAGGGGAATCTTACCTGCAATGTAATCTCAAATGGTTTAGGAAGAAATATGTATGTGTATTTCTTACGTTTTCTTAAATTTGAAATTATTTCAAAATAAAAAATTAGAAAAAGGAAGGAAAAAGGAAAGGAAGAAGGAAAGGCATACTCCAAGTAGGCTATTTTCATCTCCTTTTATTGAAGGAAATAAAACCTGTGCTGCAGAGGCAGTGGCACCTCAGAGCCTGACAAGGTAGCCAGTAGGGCCGGCATGACAAGCCACAGTGCAGGCCAGGGGTCCCGTCACAGCGGGGAGACCAAAACCACAAAGATAGCAGGAGGTAGCGAACATCCCTGACACTTGGTGCAAGAGTTTCCGTTTGCAGACAGCTTGGCCATGCATTGTAAAACAGGGTCCCTTCACGGCTGGCAGAGTATCACCTCAGGCCACCAGATCAGTCCAACAGGAACAGGGAATCTCAGATTTGGAGATCCTCCTCTTTGACCCAAAGATTTAGGCCATCAGAAGATCTGAGTTAATCTTCCAGCAGTTTATCCTAAATGTAAAAACAGGTTGAGTTCTTGAAACATCACATAGGTATAGCGGGGTGATGCCCAGCCTTGTTCTAAAAGGAGCTACATTCCCCCCCCCTCCCCACGACTTCTCATATTGTTCTCATACAGCATGTGCCCTAGGAAACCTCTCAATGTTCTAAACAAAGACAGAATGGGGGCAGCAGCCTAGGGAATTTAGGGAGTCAAAAGCTGCTACGTAGCCAACACCATTTCACAAGAAATAGCATGGGAAAGACTGCTGGGTCAAGATCCTCCCAAACAGCGGCTGGAAGCACACACAAAGAAAAACATGGTAGCTCTCGCCCATATCACGATCAGCTGCGCCAAGTCATGGTCCAGATGAGCCACTTTATGTCCCCGGCGGATTATCAACCCGCATGGCATTCCTCAAGGTACTCCAATTTTCAAGTACAATAAGGTATTTGGACAGAAAATCGAGCACTAAAGAAATCCCAACTGATTACGGATGATGTTATAAAGCCAAATATTTATATATTCAAGAACTGATGGGCAGGGGTGGGCACAAAGTGGGTGTAGAAGATTTTTCTATATAGAAATAGAAGGTCCAAAGGTTAATTCAAATAAACCCCTGCTCATAAACCACCCTCATATCTATAAATCGAGAGGAAATTCCTAATTTGGAAACGGCCGTCATCTGATTAGTCAGTTGCAGTTCTCTTCAGTGCTGGACACACGGCTTTCCAGGATAAAAGTCTTGAGCACGCTAGACCAGGAAATGGGAGGAGCAAGGCAAGGAACGGGGAGCGTCAGGGTCAGGTTCTGAAATACGCATTTATTTTCACAGAAGGCTTGGCACAACGAGGCTGGGTGAGCGTGGTTTTAGTGATTGTTCTTGGCTGCCTCCTTGGCTGCAGCAATCAGTGGAGTGAGGCTGGACAGGGGTTTGGCTATCTTCAGGAACTGATGCTAGAAGGGAGAAAAAGAGCAAAAGACAAATGACTATTTGCCATTCTTTCTTAGCAACCATTAAAAGATGTTAAGGGCAACCACATTTGCACAACATGCTGCCCAGAGAGCTTCGCATCACCCCTAAATTGAGGGACATCTTTAAGAGCTAACAAACTACTGTGGAAGACTGTTTGACAATATACCTACAGATAAACACACAACTATCTTATATCTCAGCAATTCTACTTCTAAGCATATTTCTAAGATAAATCAGTTTGTGTTCTAAGTATATTTCTAAGGTAAATCAGTTTGTGTATTGACCAAAAGACACGTGCAAGAAAGTTCATAGCAGCTTTACTTATATTAGTCACAAATGAAAAAAAAATCAAATGTCCAAGTGTAAATCAGTTTGTGTATTGACCAAAAGACACGTGCAAGAAAGTTCATAGCAGCTTTACTTATATTAGTCACAAATGAAAAAAAAATCAAATGTCCAAGGAAGTGGAAGAATGAATGTTATGTTCATATAACACTACATAGAAAATTACTCAGCCATAAAAACGAATAATTGGTACACTCACAACAGGATGAATCCTGCAGACATACTGTTGAATTAAAGAGGCCAGGCACAAGAGAGTTCATATTGTGTGATTCTTTTTTATATTAGTTTAGACTCAACTATGGTGATAATTATAAAAATAATTACCTCTGGGGGAAGGTTTGGACTGAGCATGACCCAGTGATATATTGCAATACTGAATTTCAGGAGCACTGATTTAGGAGTTCGTTGTTCTATCCTTGAATCCTATGAGGCTAACTAATCCAGTAAGGACTTCAGGAGCTCAGTTCTTTCCCAGATCACTTCCACTGGGCCTTACTTTGGCCACACCCACAGCTATTACAGAAGACTATCTTTGAGAATACACCATATGAAATGCTGCATCTACATTTTCAATAAAACAGTTATGGAAAAACAATTCTTTAACTCAAAGCCTCATAACTAAAAATGATTTTCCTTACATTTAGTCGTGAAAAAGTTTTCTGTCATGAGAATGTTTGATAAGAAATTCAGGAACTATCATGTTTCATTTTTCTGTCCTGGCAATCAGGAAACTGGGAACTACATTTGATGTTTAAACAAAATTATTTAACTCAAATAATTAGAACGTTTGATTCTTCTGCCATCCTTGTAAGTTTCTTTTATTAATCATGTTGCACATGTGTATAGACTCATAGATACAGACATATGTACACATATGTTACTTGCTTCTACTTTGTGGACAGAGATAGGATATAAAGAGGTACTGAGAACAGGAAGTTACTATTACTATGAAAGGATTAAAAGATCTTGGCTAAATCATGAAGATATGAATTCTAACATAATATCCTATGTATTTCTGTCCATGTATGTGTTCTCATAGGAGAAAGAGATGTGCAACTTTGGTGATTCACAATTCCAAAAGTCATGGTTTTCATTATTTACAATGTACAGTAACAAGTTAAAGAGCCAGGGTTCTCAGGTCACATGTTTCTACAACTGTCCTCTGAGTTGAGAAAGTAGCATGATCCAACATCCAACCAAGAGGTCTCTTTCCTTCTCTGTATAATGACAAAAAGTAGACTAGATAAACCCAAAGGCCCTTCCAGTTTTAACATTCCTTGAGCTAAAAGAGCAGCAGCCGAGAGCATACATCCTTGGGAGCTAAAGAGACACAGGCCGAAATCCTGGATCCACTGCTTATCAGCTATGTAATCATGGAAAAGTTACTAAACACTTGAAACCTGTTTCCTCACTTATAAACACGGGAATAACAGAACTTATAACTCACACTTGGTGTAAAGAATAGGTAAAAAAAATATATAAAGTGCTGAGTGCCTAGAATGTGGTAAAGATTCAATATAATGCATTTATTATTAGTTATATTATTATAGCAGCAAGAAAACTCTTGAGGGCACTCATCTTTCAATAACTGTAATTTGGTACCTAATTAACAATGGTATCTTCACCAATCACAGGCTTTGCATAGGATTTGTACATTTCCCAATGCCTAGGATTTCCAGAACAAACCTCATATGAAAGACAAAGGGATCCTATGTTGTACTGCCTGTTATAAGGGTTTTTAGTCCCAAAGGATCCTACAGACTAATCGGTTATCTTTGGCAGAGCCCAGGTCTCATATCCAATAGACCAGTACTCTATAATCACTAACCCAATTACAAAGAGATGCTATGTGTGTTCCAGAGGGTAACATTTCAATGAAGGTAAACACATTAAGCAATTTCATTCAATTCAACAAGTATTTTCTGAATACCTATTTTATGTCAGGTCCCAGGTATAAGAGGAGACCCAGAGATTATTAATAAATTAGAGGTTGTAATCTAGTGGGAAAGAGAGAGTTTTCATAACTAATCTTAATGCAGGGCAATGTGGTAGGTCCTGGCCTATCCTGCTCAGCTGCTCTTGGTCTTCATAATATAAAAGGAACATTAATCATGGTCATAAAGGTGCATGTGATACTTACCGGAGCTGCTAAAGATCTTTGCAACCATATGAAATAATTATTCTGTAATTTCAGGATTAAGCAGGTGGGAGTATGAAAGACTTGGTAAACCCCAAATTTAGGCTTCCCCACACCTGAAAGGATCTCACTGGGAAACAGCAGACCATCACTGCCGCCACCTGAGAGGGTTTCCAGTGAAGAAACAAAGACTTGAAAAGCTGCACTCACTATCCTCGAAACTACGTCTTCTGATACCCTTTACTGAAAATACATCTTTTGAACTTATCCCAGTAAAATAAAACTTGTGTAAGATTAACATCAGAGAGTGTGTTCTCCCCAAGACTCAAACTCTACCAAACCAATTCAGGCAGAACAAAAGATGCTGAAGAAAGAAATAGGTAAAGTTCAATAGGACCTCAGAAAGTAGATCTTTAAGCTGAACCTAGGAGAAGTATAGAGTTGTAGGATGCTAGAAAAAGCCTAAGAAAATAACACAAGTACCAGCCCAGTTCTATAACAACCAGTACCTCACACACAAAAATGGTGCAAAAACGGCTTGGTTTGGTGATTCCTCAAATCAGGTGCTTCCCTGCACAGGGACAGTTACCTGTAGCAGCTCTTTAGCTGAACCTCTCTTCTCCACATCCATCTCAAGACAGCGGTTCAGAAAGTCCCGGAAGATGCCTGACAGCTTCTCTGGGTTCTGAAGCTCCGGGGTCCCGTTGGTGGCAATGAGGTACAAGGCCTGGCAATACAAATGGAGAATCACCTTAGGCTCCAACGGGGGTTCTCTCGTGGTTAGCAGACGTGTCCTCTAGAAATATGGTCAGCTGCCTTATGCCTCTAGGACACAAAGAGGCAGCTTTGGTATCCTGGAAAGCATATGACCTAAGTTTAACATTTAAAGGCCATGTAACCACGTGTAAGCAGTGAACTTCCCAATTCCTCAGCCGGAAAATAGGGATGGTAATAGCACCTATCTTACATGTCTGTAAAAGTCAAACAAGATAGTATATGAGAAAGCACTCCGTAAACTTATAAAGTGTGTTGTTATTCTTATTATTGTTCTTGGTTACACATCTAAAGGACTTATTATTCATTTAGCCTGAAGAGTTAACATCTGCCTATTTGCTGGAAGAAATTATTCCTGGTGCTCTCATCTCAGTCATCTAAGAACTGACCTCATCCACTGGGAGAGGAATATAAAAAGGATGAAGCAGTAACCCATCTCACTACTGCCTCCCTGCTCCCCTAACATGAAGCATCTCCTGGGAAAGGTATAGAAAAATAGTCCTTTTCAAGCACTCAGCACTTTAATTCACAAAGTGGTCATATAAACCCTGCCTCACTTAATGACCACAATCCCTCAGGGTAAGAGAGCAGGAATTATCACCCCCCATTTCACAGATAAAGTCCAGAAACATAAAGAGCTTCGCCTGGGATCATGCTCTTCATATGCGCTCCTGTCCTCTGATTCTAATCCTGGTCTTATTTCCATCACAGCTGTTACTGATCATCACTTTCAAGGCCATTCTAAGGTGGGGGACGATGAGTGGTATGTTGATGGCAAAGCTGGGACCAAAGGGAAGAAACTTCTGAAGGCAGTTTCAGTTTGGTACACAAAGTACTTCCTAATAATCAGAGGTATCCAGCTATGGTTAGATCATCACCTATCAGTGACACCACAGGAAATGCCTACACTGGATGAGAGGTCAGAATAAATGACAAAATAAAGGCAGTCAGAATAATTCTCACACTTGTCCGTGACCAAAATCACAACCTACCTGCATCTGTATTCACACATTCTGTTTTCCCTCTCCTATTGCAATAGATAAATTGTCCATACTCTAATGCTCTTTCAGTACTTGATCCAACTACTCTCATCTACTTAAGGACATCACTCCTACAGATGTCACTTCTCTCCTGTACATGAACCCTTTCCTCCTCTCCACTAGATCATTTGCATTAGCACACAAACATGCTGAAATATCAGCTTAAAAAAAATAACAAAAAATCCTCCCTTGACTCCATCCTCAAGATATTGCTCCATTAACAGCAAAACTCCTTAAAAAAAACCAGTAAACATCTGCTTATACACACTATCTCAACTTCTTCCTCTCCCATTCTGGTGGATTTACTCTAATTAGGCTCTCATTCCCATCACTCTACTGATACTGATTGCCAAGGTCATCGATAACCTCCATACTGGCAAATCCAACATTTATTTCTCAGTCTTATGCAACCCACATTTGACAACCCTCCTTCTCCTAACACTGTCCTCTAGGCCTCCAGGACACACTTCTCTCAGTTCTCCTAAGAGAAAGGCCACTCCTTGATCTACTCCTACCAGTAATCACAAGGGTGCCCCAGGGCTCAGTACTCACACTTCACTCCCTAGGTGAGTGAGCTCATCTATATCATCTCGTTCTGACTTTTAAATAAAACAACTATATACCACCTATTAATAAATTTATATTTATAGTCCTGACCTCTCAGCCTTGAACTCTGGACTTATTTTCCCAGCTCTACTCAATGATCTCCACTTGGATGTCTAATAAATATTTCAAATTAGCACATTCAAAACCAACTCTTTATTATCCCACATTACCTGCTCTTCAACCTTCTCAGTCAATAGCAATTGAATTTTTTCAACAATTTAGTCCCCAAATCTTACTGTCATTGTTGCTGCTCTTTCTCTATATCCTATTCACCTTGCCAGCTGTATGTCCAAGCTATTTCCTGAGTCCAAGCACCTTACCAGTATAGGTCAAGCTACTACTTTTACTTGAACCATTACAACAGTATCTCATAGTCTGTTCTCCAGAAGGAGACAAAATAAATCAGATCATACTATTCCTCAGCTCAAAATCCTCCAGTGGCTTCTAATCTCTTGCAGAAGAAAAGCCAAGTTCTCACAATGATCACAGGTCTTATCAGGTCTGGCCCCCTGCTAGTTCTCTGCCTG